TGGGAATGACCTCTCCGCGGCGTTTGAGAACAAACGAGGCTTTGGACAGGTCGGTCTAGCAGGTGGACCGCCTATTGGGACACACGTAACTATTGACAATAGTGAAGGACTCTATCCATCTAGGATCCAGCCTTAACACTACCAATAATTTTAGCATGGAGATAAAGCGAAGAATAACTCTTTCAGAGCAGAGTCCTTTCTCGACGAACAAAACTTTGGAGCCTTTCGGGAGAAATATTCGACGCAAGAACTACGGTCCAGTTTGCGTGGACGATGGATACCGAAGAAGATAGATGCAACCCTGCCTATCGTTTGACACTTTTCATGAAGTTGCCAAAAGCAAAAAGTCGGACTAAATTGTGTAACTTCTGGCTAGGAAGAGTTGCTCACTTACTATCTCAGAAGTGTTCCCAGATACAGGTTTTTTGTCTATAGGAACTACTTCCTGTAAGTTCTGTCTTAATCCTGTAAACCGGACTCGTATTAGATCAGACTAATAGTCTCTTCGATTGAATCCACTGACAAACATCTTTATCCCCAGATAGGTATTCATTTTACTTTTCTGATTGAGCTTTAACGATTCTTAAAAAGGTACAGGAAAATTAGTGTTCAGGATCGTACATCCAAAGAGTTTAGTCACAGTTGTTGATGTCTTGCCACCTTCGCGAGTAGCCCCATAAAACATAGCACAAAATAAACAGAAAAGCAGAAAAGTGTGAATGCCCACACACACACTTTTCGTACGACTGGAAAAATAAAGGCGATACAAATTTGCGAAAAATCGCTCCTTTTTATCAATCAATCATAGCATCTTCGACAATTTGCAAATATATGTATATGTATGTATACACATATATATGTATATCCTCTTGAAATCAGTACATTTTGCTATAAGCTTTTTTTGCTACCAACTTAATTAATATGTCTTATTTTTATTCGAAATTGGTCTAAAAATTAATCCACTTCTTTTCGATCTTTTTAAGATACGTTTCAAAAGAATGTTTTTTTTGCGAGTGAAAATGCGTAGTTCCCTTTATTTCCATTGCCCATTTCTTTTTAACCGACTTCAAAAAAAGGAGGAGGTTATCAGTTCGTCGGAATATTTTTTTTTTTATGTATGTTACCGCATAACTTTGGACCACGTCAACCGATTTCGATAATTCTTTTTGCATCGGAAAGGTAGTGTCTCAGAGGTGGTCCCATACTAATCTGGTTAAGATCCGATCAGCGGATCATGAGATATATATATATATATATATTTTTTATATGGGAGTTGAAGTCGGTTTTTTTTTTGCTAAAAATTACTAGTTTTTTTACTTATGTGCCCTACAATCCTTTTCATTTCACTTTTTCCAGAACAGAACTTTTCAAAGTAATTCAAAGCGATGTACATATGCACATACATCATGTTTTGCTTTTCTGTAAGTAGATTACTCGCCGAGTTCTTTTTTTAATTTAATGAGCGGGTGTGTGCATTATATCCATACTTTATTATATTTTGCATGTGTAGTGAAATTCAGTTCAAAGTGTGGCATAAATGAGGGCAACACACTCAAATTAGCCCATGTGCCATGGTGCGATTTACAAAATGTCTTGTATGCACCACAAAGGCATTCATTTGACGCTTTGTTATGTGTATTAGCCTAGCCCACTACGTAGTCGACTTCCTTTCATCTGTACTCAAAGCTATTGTGGCTTGTGGTGGCTGAGCTTGCATTTACCTTGCGTCCCGGTGCGGAATATATGTAGGGCCACCTTCGAACGGCATTTACCAGCGCACATACAATGTACATAGTACATATGCATACATATGTACACATAATAAGTGGTAGGTGCTGCGGCAATGGAGACCATATTTTCTCCATTCACCATTATCATTTGGACCATTTGTGCCTTGTCTGCTGGCAGTAGGCAATTGCGCGCGTTTCTTCTAGCAAATCGGCGAATTTATGTACACACATAGTACGAGTACTCGCATGCACTTTTTGTAGCCTACATAGTATGTACATTAGGGTGGTCCA